CCCCTTAATGTTGCTAGGGCCTATGAATTGAAGTGCGAGGTTAATAACCTTAAGCAAGGAGAGAAACCAGTCTCAGTTTACTTCTCTACTCTGAAATCTTTGTGGCATGAAATTGACCACCTAGAAACACTTGAGTGGGAAAGTCAGAAGGATGCACAGACTCATAGAAAGCAAGTTGAAACTAATAGGGTTTTTGAATTCCTARCTGGTCTGAATCCTGACTATGATATTGTGAGACATCAAATACTAATAAGGGATAGTGTGACCTTATCTCAAGCCTACTCCTTGGTGCATAGTGAAGAGACTAGGATAAAGGTTATGATGCAGCATCAACCCTTCCCACCAGCCTTGGCAGCAGTTAAACCTAAGTCTGGGGGTGATATGGAGAGGGATATAAAGAAGGAAGATAAGCGGGATCTAGTGTGTGAACATTGTAAGAAACCTACGCATACTAAAGACACATGTTGGAAGTTGCACCCTCATCTAGTCCCAGCAAAACTGAGGAACAAAAGGGGTAATGCCCATATGGTTGTTAATACCAATTTTGCATCCTCATCGGGCACAAAAGGCACGCCTCTAGACACCTTAGCTGTTGTTCGGGCTGCCCTAACTCAGTTGGAAAAGGAAGTTGGGAATTAAGCTCAATCATCTCAGTCATCATCAGTTCCTTCCACATTAGCCTTTGCTCATTCAGGTACTCGGGCCTCAACTTACCATGCTTCAGCTCCAGGTAACACTGAACATTGTTGGGTAATAGACTCAGGTGCATCTGACCATATGACTAGCTTGCCATCACTATTCACTACCTATCACTTATCTTCTGGTAGAGATAAAGTGTCCATTGCTAATGGTTCCCTTGTTCCCATTTATGGCAAGGGAGACATCAAGTTGTCTAATACCATTTCCTTATCTTCAGTTATGCATGTTCCTAAGCCTGATACTAACTTACTTTCAGTCAGTAGTATTACAAAACATCAGAATTGTTCAGTAACTTTTTTCCCTAACCGATGTATTTTTCAGGACTTGGAGACAAGGAAGGTGATTGGGACTACCCATGAGACGAATGGGATCTATCTGCTTGGAGAGAGTTCTCATTGGAATGATCATAAAGATAGGAAGTCTTTTGTTTCTCAGTCTGTTAGTCAGGTTATGCTTTGGCATAATCGGTTAGGTCATTTATCCTTTCAGTCTTTGAAGAGTTTGTTTCCAAATCATTATAGAACATCTTATTCCTTGAGTAATAAAAGAAGTAGTAATTCTTTTGATGTTGTGCACCCGATGTTTGGAGCCCATATCGCATCCCTTCTATTGGGGGATACAGATATTTCTTGTTGTTTGTTGATGACTATACCCGTTTTTCTTGGGTTTACCTTATGCGATCTAGGTACCACAGTCCCTTTATCAGATCCAAGTTCCCCTGAGATATCTTCCACTATTGCTATTTTACCTTCTTTGGATGACCTTGACCTCCCCATTGCAGTCCGTAAAGGCAAATGGCGTTGCACCACATCCATAGCTCACTGCATTTCCCAGTTTCTATCCTATGATCGCTTGCCCCCCTCTTACAGGTCCTTTCTCACATCCATTGCTGATATTCCTATTCCCAGAACAGTGCAGGAAGCCTTGTCAGTTCTTGAGTGGAAAGATGCAATGAAGGTTGAAATGGATGCCCTTCTGAGGAATAATACTTAGAAGCTAGT